ATTTTTGACGACATGCTATACTATGACTTTTTCCATTATTTTTGACGACATGCTATACTATGATGTTTTTTCATTATTTTTGACGACATGCTATACTATGACTTTTTTTCATTATTTTTGACGACATGCTATACTATGACTTTTTTTCATTATTTTTGACAACATGCTATACTATGACGTTTTTTCATGATTTTTGACGACATGCTATACTATGACTTTTTCCATTATTTTTGACAACATACTATACTATGATGTTGTTTGCATAATTTTTGACGACATACTATACTATGACGTTTTTTCATGATTTCTGACGACATACTATACTATACATGATTGTCATGCCACATTATGAGTTTTTTCAACATAGTTTACTATGACTTAATTTTATAATTTCCTTGGAATCTTGTAATGTGACATTTAAATTATATTCTTTTTTACGTGCTTTAGTATGACTTTTTCTAACTCACTGTAGACTGACTTTATTTACAGTTTTGTCTGCGACATAATATTCTATGACTTATTTAGGTTTTTTCATGCTATACAAAAAGCCCATGAGACGTAGGTTTATAAAAACAAATATATGAAGTACAATGTACTTTATTAATATTCTTAAGACAAACTGAAGTTCATACAGATAAACAGTTCGGTTTAGACAGTATGTGAATCACACTGATACACCTATCTGTTCCTGACCTCTCGGATGTGACTCTGATCCTCTCGTTGTTGGACGACTGTTTCTCATCGTCTTTCTCTCTGAAATATTCCTCCACACACTGCTCCTCAAACTCATACAGACTCTTAAGCTCCTCAGGACTCAGCACCAGCTCTGAGGAAACACACAAATACAAATTCAAATACAAATACAAATACAAATACAAATACATTTCACAGTAACTCAAACACACTCTCCAGCACCAGGTCTGACAGACAGACACACAGACACACAGACACACAGAGAGACAGACACAACGACCCACAGACAGACACACACACAGACAGACACACAGACAGACAGACAGACACACACACAGACAGACACACAGACAGACACACACACAGACAGACAGACACACAGACACACAGACAGACACACAGACACACAGACACACACACAGACAGACAGACAGACACACAGACACACAGACACACACACAGACAGACAGACACACAGACAGACACACACACAGACACACACACACACAGACAGACACACAGACACACAGACAGACAGACACACACACAGACACACACACAGACAGACAGACACACAGACACACAGACACACAGA